ATTGTAAAGGGGCTTCTTGATTTTAAGGTATTTTTTTGCTGAGGGTTCCAGGACCCTGTTTTGAAGGACAAAGTCTGAATATAAAGCCCTTTCTCTGCAATCAGGTGGCATCCAAACCAATCCTCCTGAATGCAAATAATACTCTTGGCTCCAAGGCTCTCAAGGTAGGGGTGGGATGGGGATATTTTGCCCTCCTTGAGACATTTAGGATATTTTTAAAGTTGTTTTTCTTTTTGTTTTTACTTATTTTTTTGTTTGTTTATTTTTGCTGTAGGGTATGTGCACTTGCCAGAGAATCAGAGAGAAAACGAGAAAACGAGCAATCACTCCCCGGGAGAGGGGATGTTCACGCTGCAATCCCTTCTCCATTCTCCTCTCAGAATTTTGAGCATGCACACACATGCTCCCACCTGATTTCCAAGCCACTGGGTCCAGGACTTGAACTGCACAGTCAGCTATGTAGGATCCAGTCACCTTAACTATCATGCCATCAGCTGGCTCAACATTTAGCCAATTTTTTTTTCTTTTCTTTTTCTTTTTTCTTTTTCTTTTCTTTTCTTTTTTTTTTTTTTTGCTATAGGGCATATGTACTTGCCAGAGAGAGAGACATACCGAGGGAAAAATTGAGAGATGGAGAGAGGGAGAAAGGGAGAGAGGGAAAGTGAGAAATCGCTCCCTAGGGGAAATGGCCATGGTGCAGTCTCTTCTCCACCACTCTCCTCCCGGGATCTTTGGCACTCACACACGTGCCCAGCATGATTTCCCAGCCACCAGGTCCACAACTTGAACTGTGTAGTCGGCCATGTGGGATCCAGCCAGTTTAACCTTCACCTGCTGGCTCTGTCTGGCCAATTTTAAATTCATTTTGGTGGTCACAACCAGCATAGAGAGGTGTGTGCTACTGGCATCTAGGGGGTTGAGGGCAAAGAAGCTCCTAGACACCCTGCAATGCACGGGACAGGCCCCCGTAAAAGAGAATTGATATTCAGCCCCAAAAAACCTGCTGTGGCTGAAGATGAGGTGTGCTCACGTGCCCGGGTGTTTGGGCCAGCCCTGCTGCACACTTGCTGTCCCAGCATCCGTGTCTGTGGCTGCCCAGTGCAGCCCACCCTCTGTTTCTCCAGCCCGTTTTCCCACCTCAGGTCCTTGGCACTGACTGGAATACTCTTCCCCTCACCTTTGCATCCAGTCACCAGGACCTCACTCTTCAAGGAAGCCACCTTGTTTCAAAGAGCCCCTGCCCCCAGCCACTCTGCACTCCAGTGGTCTTCAGAGTTTTATTTTGCTGAGATACATGTTTAAATAATTTAAAATCGTGTGCTCTCTTGGCATACTTTAAATTTATATTTAATAATTCCTCATTCCCAGTTTAAATAGTGGAGACAAAATAACTTCCATTACAGAATAAATGTTGACAGTTTTGAAAAAAATGGTTAAGTCACTCTACAAATGTATCCAATAGAATCTGAAAATCATAGTAATTTGATGTCCTCTCTCATCTGTATGAAAATTATATTTTCATGGTGATGAAACTTATGTTGACTGCACTATTACATTATTTCTGCAACAAATATAAAAATCTAAATGAGCAGTTTTTAATTGTCTAAGTTAAATTTTTATGAATTGAATTATTATTATCACACTTATTACATGATTGGTCAATACAAATAGAAATTTTATAAAATTTAAAAAAGTATTACACTACTGTTACTTACGCCATTAATAACAATAAAGAGAAAAATAACAAAAGTAAGTTTTTATTGGAAACATGTCACTGAATGAGATGAATATTTCTCCAACTAGTTCATATTGTTACTCATTAGTAAGATAAAAGTACTAATTTATTCTGATTTTTTAATTCATAAGGCTATAAGTGCAGGGAACAATGTTTACAGAAATAAGAATTGAAATGGAAAGAATTCTTTTATATTACTTCTTGAACTCCTGAATTTATTAAAAATAAATGATTTATCATAGATTGCATGGTAGGGCCAGCAGGTGGCTTGATGGTTAAAGCACTGGACTCGCACATGACCGGCGATAGTTCGAGTCTCAGACCTGGTGGCTTGCTTTCTCACTTTTCCTCCCTCGCTTTCTCTCTGGTGAGTGCATGTACCTTGTAGCAAATTAAAATTAATAATAATAAATTAAAATAAATAATTCATTAAAACAAAGATTTCATAAAGGCTGGCAGGTGGCATGGTGGTTAGGGGTGCTGGATTCACATGGCTGACCACGGTTCAAATCCTGGACCTGGCAGCTTATTTTCTCACTTTCCCTTTCTCTCTGTCTTTCTATCTCTGTCTCTGTCTGGTCAAATTAAAAAATAATAATAACAAATGGAATTAAATAAGTAATTATTAAAAAGAAAGATTGCATGGCAACAAATCGTTAAATAACAATTTAATGATGATAATTGGATTGAATATTTTTTCAATTTTGTTGGGACAAAAGAAATCAGAAATCATTTTAGGGGCCGCAGGTGGTATGGTGGTTAGGGGCACTGGACTCCCCCGTGGCTATCTGCAGTTGGAGTCCTGGACCTGGCATCTTGCTTTCTCATTTTCTCTCTCTCTTTCTCTCTCTCAATCCCTCTCTGGTCAAATGAAAATAAAATAAATGGATAAATAAAGTTAAATAAAATAATAATTTTTTTTTTTAAAGAGAGACCAGCAGGTGGCGTGGTGGTTAAGGGTGTTGTACTCCCACATGGCCCACTGTGGTTCAAGTTCTGGACTTGGCAGCTTGCTTTCTCACTTTCCATCTCTCTCTCTCTCACACTTTGTCCATATCTGGTCAAATTAAAACAAAATAAATAAAGTTAAAGAAAATAATTCTTTTTTAAAAAGCATTTTGTTTGCAAAAAAATATGTCATCAAGGAATTTGAGCCATTTTCAGTTTCTAGAAAGCACACCAAAAAGGTGCCATCAAGAATTTTTAACTATTGGGGCTAGCAGGTGACGTGGTGGTTAAGGTGTTGGAATTCCCACCTGGCTAACCACAGTTCGAGTCCCTGACCTGGTGGCTTGCTTGCTTTCTCTCTCTCTCTCTCCCTCTTTCTCTCTCACTGTCTTTCTCTGGCAAAACTCATATTAAAAAAAAAAAAAAGTAAAATAAATTACTTAAAAAATTTTTTTAAAAGGATTCTTCACTACTAATTTACCTGTTATTCCTTCACTTAGAGGCACTTTAATTGTATATAATAAACAAAATGGTTGGAAAAGAGAAATATATCTTATTTCAGGAGATTTTTGCTACTACATTTAAATAATTGGTTTTATCTTATCACATGCTTTATATTTATTTTCACTAAAGCTCATAAAGCTCTTCATTTCGCTTATTGAGTTAATGGCAGCTCTCCCTCAGAACACTTGTTTGTCAAACTAGTCCTATCAACTTTTGTCACATTTCACTTTAATTTTAATTTAAAATAACATATTACTCACCCTTTTGAGAATTCTAATTCTGCTTCTGAATCTAATTCTGACATGGATAGACGGTGAAGGCAGGGTCTGGGCTCTGAACGTATCTCCTGTTTGGAATAAGGAGCTTCCAAGTTCTCTTTGCTTTGGCCTCCCAGGGCTCTTCCTCGGCAATGAAGCATCTGAGTCAAGAGCCAGCGTGTTGAAAAGGCCAAGTCGTACAGTTAAATCATCACTCTTACAATCTGCATTCAGAACAACCCAACCTGGGCTGAAATACCCCAATTCTAAAGCTAGATTTCACACTTAACAGAAATAGCCACATGCCAGGGAAAGCTTTCTTGAAGGCTTACGGTACTTTGCTTAAGGGAGGTTACATACTACCAGTATTTCACATTGTCCCTTATGTGCTCTTAGAGGTCTTTACATCCCATAGGCAATGCACCATGAGAGGATTAAGGATGACTGGGAGGTTGGGACCAGCGGGTGGCATAGTGATTAAGGCACTGGACTCTCACGTGGCTGACCACAGTTTGAGTCCCAGATCATGCTGGGCACATGTGTGCGTGCCCAAAACTCCAGAGAGGAGAATGGAGGAGAAGAGATTGCAGCCATCCCCCTGGAGGGTGATTTCTCGCTTTCTCTCTCTCTCGGTCTCTGTCTCTCTGGTGACCACATGCGCCTTATAGCAAAAAAAACAAAAAAACAAAACAAAACAAAACAAAACTCTCCAAAAGAAAGGATGAGCAAGAAACTTATCTTTCTATAGCAGAGTAGAAGAAGGCCAGCTGGGGAAGATCTGCGTTAGAGCCAACTGTGCTGGTATACAACACTAAGACTACTCTGCAGGTTGGGACCACATGGAGGTCCGGTGCCAACTTCCGGTCTAACGTCAAGGCCAGATGCGGGCAGGCCTGCAATGCCAGGGACTTGGGAGGCTGAGATAGGATTGTGAGCTTGAGGCTGGTGTGGGCCACAAAGGGAGACCCTGTCTGTCAAAGAGCTATGTGTTGCGAATACCCACCTCTACAGAGCCAGGGAGGAGGATTGCGATGAAGCCGTCCTTTAAAAAAAAAAAAGGAGAAAAGAGAACATATATTTGTTGGGAATCTGAAAAGTGATGCCCTCTGAGTTTTCTTGCCTCCAGAAGTGTACTATTTCCCAAGGAAGTCTAATCTACTCCACTACCAACTCCTTTGATTTAAAAAAATTTTTTTCAGAAATCTCAGCACAACCTCTAGTTGCCATTTTTAAAAATAATTATTTAATTTTATTTTTTGTATTATTATTATTTAGGTTGCTATATGGCACATGAGCTCAATAGAGAGAGAAAATGAGAAAGCAAGTTGCCAGGTCCAGGACTCAAACCATGGTCAGCCATGTGGGAGTCCAGCATCTTTAACCATCATACCACCTGCTGGCCCTAGCTGTCTTTTCCTCCCCGCCATTCCTATCATTTTCTCCCCCGCAGAATGTAAGAGGCTCAGAAATAGGAGCCTGGATGCCTTGCCCTTGTCATTTCCAAGGAGCCTAGGAGGCTGCCTATCAATAGATAGTTGTCAAATAAAACAAACACACAGACTATACTTTCAGGGATCCTTTCTTTAGTGGATTACTAGAGACGTTTCTCTGGACAGGTAGAGCAGCAAAAACCAGGAGGACGAGGCACAGCATTCTCCCCTGAGCGAGAGCCCGGCTCCTGGTGCTGCTTTCTTGCAATTGCCATTTGCTATTGATGCTTGTTCTTCTCCTCCTTTGGGAGAGGGAGAGGGGAAGAAGGCCATCTGAGTGGGGGGAAAAATTCAGCCTCTGTTGATAGCTTTCTGCTGTGCTCCAGTAAACATGTGACCAGGCTTCTTGGCTCTGCTTAAAAAACAGTAAAATCCCCCCAATGACATCTCCCTGTAGCTCCCTGTGCCTCTCATCCATCTGCAAAACCCTCAATCAGGCTGCTCCAAAGCAAGGAGAATCCTTGCCCCCACCCATGGCAAAATGTTCCTCATTTAAAGGCAGCTGCAGGGCAGGGGTTCTGGAAATTGGACTGCTAACATAGGAGCTGTTTTCTTCCAGCTTTATTAACTTTTAAGCCTTTTCCTGTTTTCCTGTTATGGCCAGACCCACCTCTTGGCAGATGCTGAAGTCTGACTGTTTGAATGTGATTCCTGAACGATGATTAAAACAGATTTGGAGCTTCGACAAAAGAGATGCCAAAATACCAGTAAGACTCAGGCTATTCCATAGGGATTGTGCCCATTGGGGGGAGGCGGGGTGGGGGCTTGCCTGTGGCCCTCAAGTCTCATCTTTCAGAAAGGCACAGTCCACACAGGGAAGGGGATTTCAAGCTGGGATGGGACAGGGTTGTGGGAGTGGTGGCTTGTTGTCATTACCGGTGAAATGAAAAGATGAAGTTGCTCTGGTCAAGCCTTCAGTATGTAGTCACACAACCTCGCTGGGTGTTCGCAGGGGCACCCGGAGACCTTACCACCGTCATTTCCACAAACCCAGTTTCCATCCAGAGAACCTGAGGGAGAGCAAGGCAGGACGGAGAGCAGTAAGGTAAACACCACCGTCCCTGCCCCACAGCTGTCCCTACTCGACTCCCAGCCTCCCACGCCGAGACACAGCCCTTCAGATTGTTTTCAGAGCAGAGTGCTGAGTCTTCATAATCAAGGGCTCTCTGAGCACACCAGTGAAAGGAGCTTTCTGTATCACCGCTCTGAATCGTAAAAAACGTCAGCCTCCCCAGTGCTTGTCTGTCCATTAAAACTCAGCATTTATCTCAACAACCACAACCCACCCCAGCTCTGCTTCCAGCTCATCAAAGTCATCCGCGACCCTTTTCACCCGAACCATCAGAGAGACCTGAATTCCAGCCGTGACTGGATTCAGCCAACTTTTTCTCTTGACTGGAGGAAAGATAGCATGTAAATAAGCAAAGTACTGATGTGAAAAAAATTTCCAGTGACTCAAGTGAGTTCTTGTGCAGAGTGGAGCCACTGTCAGATCCGGAGTACAGAAAAGGGGGTGTCTCACTTTCCCTGCAAAGACAACGCTCACACCCTTGACCAGGTCAGGGCTCTCAGATCTAGTGAGGAGCTTGCTCTGCACACATGACATGACTGCATTCAGTGGTGAGGCCCGAGGGTTTCCCCTGGACGACAAGCGCACAGAAGTCTGTTGATCCACAGCGTTGAACATTTTCTTTGTCGCTTCAAGCAAAGCCTGCTGCTTTTTAACAGATGAGTGAAAACTGAATACCACACCTTATTCTTGGTTCTCAGACAGTGGCAGAACTCCACCCCGTTGAAGATACAGTTCATGAAGCTGTACGTGTCTCCTACCAAAGTGGAGCTATTGACTGACCACAAGTCGTGCCTGTAAGATAGGGGACAAGAGGAAGACCAGCTCAAGCCAAATGCAGGACACATCACAGTCAACATGTCCTACTTGACAAAACAAAACTATAAAATGTGGGGCCAGTCAGTGGTGTGGTGACTAGGTAACTGGATCCCACATGGCCGACTGCATGGTTCAAGTCCCAGAACTGGCAGCTTGAAAAACATGTGGGTACATGTGTGTGCATGCCCAAAATCCCAAGAGGAGAATGGAAGAGAAGGGATTGTGGCGTGACAATTTCCCCTGGGGAGGGGGGAGGTCACTTTCTCACTTTCCCTCTATCTCTCTGTCTCTCTCTGCCTGTGTGTGCCTCTGGTGAGCACGTGTGCCCTGTAATAAATTTTAAAAATGATATATAAGAGATGGGTAAAAGATGTGAGCATCTCAGGCCTTTCTACTTCGTGTGCTTTCTCCCTGGTAGTATTCCACAACTATTGTACTCACCGTGAAGGGACAGAGAAGGATAGTGGGAGCGAGAGTGTGCCCTGTAATAAATTTTAAAAATGATATATAAGAGATGGGTAAAAGATGTGAGCATCTCAGGCCTTTCTACTTCGTGTGCTTTCTCCCTGGTAGTATTCCACAACTATTGTACTCACCGTGAAGGGACAGAGAAGGATAGTGAGAGCGAGAGGAGAAATCACCCCCCAGGGAGGATGTCCATGCTGCAATCCCTTCTCTTCCATTCCCCTCCTGGGATTTTGGGCACGCATGCACACGTGCCAGGCTGATTTTCAAACCACAGGGTCCTGAACTTGAACTGTGCAGTTGGCCAAATGGGATCCAGCTGCCTTAACCTCCACACCACTTGCTGGCCCAAAAATCATAAGCTTTTCTTCCACAAATATTTATGGAGCTGAGCCAGAGGCTAAGGCTACAAATATATGTATATATATATATACACACATATACACACACACACACATA